TGTCACATCGTACAATGATCCCAGCCTAGAAAAAAGAGTTGCCTGTGTTAACATAAAACTCAGCTGAACATGCCAGCTTTGTACAGAAGAATTTACAGGCATTTATAGGGCAAGTGTTACAAGGCTGAATTAACGAATGTTACATTTAATATACAGTCTGTACTAAAAAAACTTACTGAAGTATTTTGTATGTACTAAGATAAGGATCATTCCTGAAGAGCAGCTCTAAGTGATGATGAGTATATTCCTTATAGTAAATTCCAAAGATGTGCTGATCATTTCATTTTACTTCAAAACAAAAGTAAACATAGAGGAACAACTTCTGTAAAACTAGAAGATCTGGTTTATTCATTTGTTCATTAATTCATTCAGGCCTTATGAAATTTTCCATTTTCTTCAACACATTTAGAGGTAGTTGTGTCTTTGAATTGTCCCTGTCCTACTAGGAGTCCCATTTTCTCTGTTATACCAGCACAGATCAGGAGTTGCATTGACTTCAGGCTTAAGCAAGTTTGGTAATAGATGGAATACTTTCCAGTAGTTGATGAACAACTTTTACACAAGATGTGTGCTCACTTCTGGCAAAAGTCCCGCATGCCACAGTTGCATGGCCGGCTAGCCCAGAAAGTGCCAGGTGCTTCAGGACCAAGCAGTCTCCCTTCTTTTTTTCCTTTCAGCCTCCACATTGCCACCATCAGTCACACCCTGTGATTTTGAAGCTTGCTGTGGCTGCCTGGCTCCTGGAGCTGTGGCTGCTTACCAGGGTGGTCCATGCACATGGAGGTCACACTGGGGCCATCACTCTGTGTTAATGCAGACATCACCGGCATGTCTGAGGGTAAAAGRGCTGGCAATTTCTGCAGTAAATGGTAGTCTCACACATGCCAATAACAGGAGTGCAAGAATAAAGTAACCCCAGGTGGAGGCTGCTGTGGAGGGCTGGGGAAGGGTTACATACAGCCCCAGCTGTGACAGTAGTTGTGTTTTTCTGTGAGCGGCATAAAGGTTGTGTGGAGAAGAGTCATAATGACTGAAAAGTTATGTGTTAAGAACAGAACTTGAAAATAAGCCAGCATTAGTGGTTTTCGAGCATGACCAAAACTCCAGGAACAAGGAAGGGCAGTATTTCTGATGATGTGGRATTCCCGCAGGGTGTCCTGGACCTGCTGACCTAGGAGCACTTCTGGGTAAACAAGAACACAGCTTCACAGGTGCCAGTCATAATTAGGCCTTTCTCAGGTAGCATTGGTTATAGCTGGGTTATAGCTGGGTCAAAACATCATGTGTTAAGGACACCCTGGTCCTGGGGGTCCTTGCTGTACCTCTCGAGTGAGCTTTCTGTGTGGTGAGAGGGAGGGCTTTAGAGGCACGCTGCTTGTGTGGGAGAAATTGAGCAGCCAGGGCACCTGCAATGTCTTCTCTTATTTTAACAAGTGTCCTGAAAGTACATTTTGTGTTTCTCTAAAGACACATCAGATGGTTTTGGCAGCTGCTTCTTCAGAGGGGGTCATTGTAGAGAAAGCAGACAGCAGAAGAAAAAATACCATTCTCTCTTTAGTTCCATGGCTTCTTATTTTATTTCTTATAGTATTTCTGGATTTAAACAGAGAGTTTCCTTGTTTCCCTGTTTGATTTTCTCTGCTGCCTTTTTTTTTTCCTTCTTTAATTGCTGGGAGGGTGAAGAATGGCAGGGACAAACTGCCACAACCCCTCAACAGTGACTCTCCAAGGAAGGCTGGGGGTTTTTGATAGTTTAGGGCTGTGAGAGAGGGAAAAACAGACTGCAGTCTTCTCTTTGTACTGTGCTGAAGTACATACCCCTCACTGCCTGAAATGTTCCTTTCACATTTTTCCCACCTGGAAAGCCCTTTCCTGAAACCTTATTGATTCTTTTGACTGGTTCCTCCAAATTTTATCTTCCTTTCCTGCCTTTCTCCCAATCCTATGTTCTTCCTGTTCTGCCCAAGTGTCAGAAGTCTGATGGAGTTCCAATGCAGGTTAGTGCAGTTATACAAATGTCATTATATTGAAAATAAAGTTAGGTCCTTGCTCCCTTAATTTACTAAATCTTGCTTTCCATGATCTGTTGGTGTTGAAGATTTTTCTTTTTTTAGAATTTAGTAGATTATTTTAACAGATGCTAAGCCTACAAACTCTTCTCAATGAATCAGTCTCTAGAAATTAAATTATGTTTCTAGATCAGCCACGGGGGAATCTTTCTCTGTTGATGATAGGGCAGTTTAAAATCCTGACCTAAGCCAGATTTCTGAAGTGGATACACCAGTTATATGAGATCAGATGAGTCAAGTTGATAATCTCCTCAGAGACTGGCCAAGCTCTATTCCAGAAGTAGCTATGCTTTTTTATACCGTACTGAAAGTCTGATTCAATTTTTTGTACTCCAGTGGTTATTATCCTTTTAGTTTACTGTCTGGTTTTATGTGTGTTCTGTTTCTACCTGTTGGTTTTGCTCCCTCATTGTTCATGAGCCTAAACTGCTATTGCAGTGCTTACTCTCTTTTGTATTTATAGACATACACTACCTTTAAAGGGACATGTAAGTGCCTGTTCCATTTTGTGCCTCAACCTTTACTTTGCCACACTAACCCAGCCAGGTCCTGTCAGTYACTTTTTAATAGATAGGGTTTAGAGCCTTTACATCATCTTGGTGACCTTTCTTTTCTTCTGTCCTAATTTGAAAGAATCTTTTTTGAATATAGGTGACCTGTCTCCTGTGCATATGAGATTTTACTCCTACCTTAAAATATTATCCTTAATCCAGTGCTCCTAGGATCAGAGTGTCTTCTCTTGGCAGTATTCCACCAGAGGCTGAATGTGCTTGTATTGACTTGCCCGACTGGCTCAAATATTGCTCGTAGTGTAGCCACAGGCACATGGTATTCATTAAAAGTTGAAAAAGCTAACTCAAAATCATGGGGAAATATTTAAGAGCTATCTCACACTGCTCTTCCTGCTGCTACAGTTACCAGGGCTGCATTACATCAGCTGACTATGAACTGGATAGTGCAGGTATAAACGTAGGTTTAAAGTTATCATTTTTATAAATCCTACTGATAGTTCTTCACTATTGCCCCTCATCTTTCACTACTAATCYGTTACTGATTCATTTTTTGTTCTCTTTTTCCCATCATCCAAATTCTAGGGCTACAAACCCTGTTTTGACTAGGGTACAAGCAGACCTTAACAATATATACTTCTCTTACAGAAATTAAGATAGTGATGGTGTGAAAGTACTTCTTTGTTCACCTCCATTTTGAAAGTTTCCTCCCTAGGCAAATCTTACCTTTCTCATCCCCTCTTTACTGTTTTGATCTTCTTGTGTTCTGCAGAGTCAAGCAGATGCAGAAATAAAACAACCAGGCACGGCCTGCTTCATAACTGCTTAAATATGTATTAGGTTCTCTCTCATGTTCCTTTTCTTATTTTTGAAGCTATAGCATCTGTTCAAGCCACATTCCCTATTTGTCAGGAGCAATTTTTTCCCTTTCAACCCAGAAAGCCACTGGTAGAATTTGTTCAGAGATGGTTGAATGCTATGGCCATGTGTTAAATTTTAGGGATACCATGAGCTGAGTCTTTTCTGCAAGCTATACATTCTGTTCCCCAGCATGCTATCCTCTGTATTTGCTTCATCTCAGAGTGAGCCTGTTCAGAAACTTACAAATAAAGAGGAAGGAAAGGGAATTGTCTGCAGTACCAGCTGAGCTCCCTATTCTGTCTTAACATGGAGTCAAATGTATAACACAGCACACAGGATGGGAGTAATGCAAGGTGCAGACTGATGCTGATCCTCTAGCAGTRACTGATGCTGAGCACAGCCAAGCCATACTGAAGGAGAACGCCTGAAGCTCTATAATTCCTGTCTGGATAGATCATAGGGCACATATTCCTCACCTGAAAATATTTATTCAGAAACACCAGTGTTTCACAAGACACTTTTCCTATGATTATTGATTGTTTCAAATAGTCTACAGAAYATTCATGTGGTCACAAGATGTGAACAGTTCTGACCTTGATTGGAGAGACTTGACTCTAGCAACAAGTTAGCATCTGCACCCCTGCAGTCTCTTTTCCTTATGAAAAAAAGACTTTGTACTCAGTCTTCTTCCTTAAAAGAATTTCACTACACATGCATACATTTCATTTTATATTCAGTTCACTATCTTGAATACAGAGAAGATAAAAATGTGATTAAATGAAAGCATTAATAAGAATATGTAAAAATGTTTTAGTTAAGTAGAGATAGATGACTGCTGAATAGTTATGTTAGTAAAATTCACAGTCTTATTGCATAATCTAAAACTCTTTTCATGTCTCAGGAAATAGCTCTCAAAATTACAAAAAACCCTTTTTTCCTTCTGTTTAATCAGCTTCTTGATGTRAAGCCAACACCTTTCATTCTGTTGTAAAAAGAAAAAATTCTGCTATTCTAGCATATAAAACATGAAATACTGGCACACAAAAACTATTATGGATGCAGTTTWTGTTGAAGGGTTACTAGGTTTCCCTTGGAAAACAAAAATCATAGGCAATAAGCATTCAAGAGGAGCCACAACAACCTGTAGACTATGTAGTGATGCTCCCAATTATTCTTTCTCTGCTGCTGCATTCCTACACTCCAGAGCACACCTCTCACCTTTACAGCCATCACACTCCAAACATTGCTTGCACTGAGGAGAATCACTGTTTTGCCTGAAGCAAGGAACATAAGTGTTGCAAAACTGACTCCTCCTCTAATGGGGTGAGCATGTACAAGTACACAGAGTTGTATTTCTCCCAGAGCTGCCAGGCTGAATATTTTGCAGTCAGAGCTCTAAAGCTTTCAGGCTTTTTCTTTGTTTATCTTTCTTTGGGGTCTTTCCCCCTCTTTCTTTCTGGATTTTTTTCTTTTTTTAATATATGTGAAACTCTTTGAAATGCTGGATTTTCAAGTGCTTGTTCAGGAAGCATTCATGAGCTGGCATGGGTCAACATACATTTCATTATCAGGCAAAAGTAAGTACTGCAGTTCATTCTGTTCCTACTGTATGTTTACCTATCTATAAAGGGTTTGGTGTTGTTGTATGAAGGACAGAGTAGACTGTAGTTGTGTTAGCAGAAATGAAAAACTTACAGAAAARGGTAAAATCAGTTCAGCTTGATGTGGTATACTAAATATCATATGGCTCACATTCTGAGAAAGAAAAAAAAAAGCAKTTTTACTTGTCAGTCAGTGATTTAGCTTTTAAAATACTGAAATAAGCTGTGGACTCAAAGATGCCACTCCTTCTCTATGTTTTTTTTTTAAGTGACAATAGGACTGTATTTATTATTTTGAAGCATTTTAATCCATTTGGTAATACTAGTCTCATTATATTATGCTTTATATAATATATGTTCACTAAGTATACCTTATTTTTGTTATTCATTAATGAAAATACCCACCTGGAACTCCCGTAACTGCCGTCATATCTTCCACTGTCTAATATTCCCTAGCTATTATTTGATTCTTTCTGTATTACCCTCTCCTGTGTCTGCACATACATACTCCAGTTATCATATTCTGTTTTGTGTTATTATCTTCATAATGTGTTGGTATTGGCATAGACCGGCAGTGAAAGGCTGGAGGGAAATGGATCTCAGAGAGAGGGGAGAGAAAGGCTGGTGATAACTGAGCTGGCAAGGAGTAAAGAAAACGACGTGCTTTAATCCAAAGAGTCTCTTTTTAGCCAATTTTCCCTGCATTGTGTTGAAACGTTGTACCATCAACATCTGTAATATTTTCACTATTCCAGCAGTCACCTGGGAATTCATTAGTATCCTGGGAATGAATACAGTTTCCCTTGCTGTGAGTTCCCTCTAGAGAGCGCAGCAGCCTGCGAGAGAGACAGTTGTGTGGATTCTGTGTCCGCGTTACCAGCGCAAGGTTTCTGCTGCAGAAACGCCGTGCTGCAGCTATCAGTCTTTCTTTCCTTCTTTTGAGAGTTGCCTTGCTATTGTTGAGCTGCACCAGGCACTCCCCGAAGGCAGGCAGGCGGATTGCCCAGGCACCGAGCAAGTTTAGCAACAAGTAACGCTCGAACGTGTGTGTACGGCAAGCAGCCATTTACCATGTGCACGTTTCGCAGCTCTGAGCACCGACAGTGAGTCTGCGGCGCGAATGCACGTCAGTCTCCCGTCACAAAGCACAGCCTAATTAAAGTCCTGCACAGGGATTAACAAAAATCCCCGCTGTGGCTTGGAGCATGCAGACCGTGAAGGGAAACAAAATCTGCAGAAATGCAGTCACCATAAAGCCAGCAAGAAGCAAAAACTGATAGATAATCCTGGAGGTTTTTTGTTGTTAAAATTGACCTGGAAATCTGGCAGACTAAATTTCTATGTCAAAGATGTGATGCTTTGAAAGAGCACAGTACAGTGGGTTGAGGTGAGTAGGATAGTTCAGTCTCAGAATTTTCACCTGTRTTTTTTGGAAGTGTCTCAAAGTTTCTAAGCTATTTCTGTTGTATTATCATTGATTTTTATTGCTCAGTAAAATACACTTTTTTAATGTGCCAATGTTCATGGCTTCAGCTGTGATTGCTACCCGTAGCAAGTGAAGCTCAGCTATCAGAAGCAGGGTGCTTGGGAACAAAGGGGGTTTTTAAAAGCTTTGGCCTTCATTTAGAGATTGTGGAAGTATGACTTCTACACATTCCTTACTGCAGTGAAGCCAATGGAGTTCAGCCACTTCATTCAGCAGTATCAGGATTTGAGTTGAAACCTTTTTTCTCCCAGGTGTTTTTCTTCTCCAAAATCAGACACAGGTTAATTACAGACCCACAGAATATTAGAAATTATTTCCAGACACTCAAATTTACAAACTCTGAGTTTTCTATATATTTATGTACCTGCATGTACATGTCAATACACTTTTTATCCTTCAGGCATGATTTTTTAGGATTTTGTCACAAACTCTTGTTATGCAATACCCTTCTTTCAAAGTTCTATTCCTCCCCTGAAAACCTTAGTTTTCTGTGGCTTCAGCATCAATTTTGGTTCCCACTGATGTCGTCAGTACAGCTGCCTTTCAGAGAGGTTGTTGGGTTGCTTCACAAGGTAAGSTCAAAGAGCAACAGCCTAATTTCTTGTGTGTATTCGTAAATTGGACTAATCTAATGCTGTGATAACTTCACTTACAAAGACTTTCTCATTCACCTTTTCCTGACTGGTCTCCTGCAGCTTTGGGGGGATGTCTGATTTTGTCTCCACTCTTGTTTATCTATAATTGCTATCACATGTCTSCTCAGCCTAGCTCTGAATTGGGAATCTCCTGTCACATGAGCAGCTACAGGGCAGGTGTAGGCTACATGGGCAGCTAGGCTAAACTTAGTTCATTTGARACTGATCCTAACTTCTTTAAAGAGACAGCCCACATTATTTTAATATAATTTATTCGTTGGTCAGCTGTAAAGCTGTAGCTGTACCTGTTCTGCAGTAAAGTTATCACTGTGTATCGATTTAAATAAACATTAAATCGAGGATGCAGGTGCAAGCTAAATAATGAGAGAAGAAAAGTTTCTGACTGTTGTCCATCCTACTTATTATATTGCCTGGACTCACTGAAGAGGTCATGACCTTGCTCCGAGACCTTTCTCTATCTATCACATAGTTAGATACAGGTTGGTAAGGTTCTGTTWAATATGAATTTTAATCCTTCTAAAAACTTACTTGTTAAAAAACCTTCATATCCAGTAGACTACTTTCACGATCACTTTTTAGCCCTAAAACTTTATAACTTCCAGAAGAGCCACTGGTAATTCCCYGGCTTGCAGTGTGTACCTGCCAAGAGCAGATGTGGCTCTGCCTGACCTTTCCTGTGCTCCATGTACTCCATACCTAGCAACAGCATTATGACCAAGCAAGTAAAATTGTTCTTTTTTCCTGCCCCACTCTAAGTTAGTGAATTAAAAATGAGAAAGAATGAATATTCAAAATAAACATTAAAGTATCACTGGTGTTCAGGATTGCATTTAGGTTAACTCCTATTGCCTTTGTATATAGGTTAGATTATCACTGTGATCTCTCTAGATTGACAGATAAGGAGCTCTAAAAAGATCTCATTCAGCATATTTGTTACATCTGATATAATTTGTTTTCTTTGTCTTGAGAAATTTTCTAATCTCCTGAATTTCAAACCCCTTACAACCTGAGGTAACCCGAGGTTTTTGGCATGGCAATTCTCTTTGCAAATTCATTGTTCCCTCAGGGCAAAGTCATTCCATATTAACAGTACTTTTAAATTGTCACATTTCCACTTCTGGTGAGCATGTGATACATAACATTCCCTGTGAGCAAGTATGTACTGGTTCATAAAAACAGTCAATAAACTTGGCACCAATAATTTCTGAAAACTTTCAGACATCTAACTGGAGCAAGAACAATCATGATGTAGAAGTGAAGGGTTTATAATTCACGACAGATAATCTGGTTGATGAATTGCACGTTTTGGATGCTGCTGTATGGTGTGACCCTTCTTTCTTGGACAAAACCGGAGACAGTCTTTGGAAAAGCAAGGATGACTTGTAGCCAAATCTACATCTGCTCTCAGCCTCATMCAAAAATTGGATTGCTGCTGTTGCTGTTTCTTCACCCCTAAACATAAACTGGGAAATCATGAGAGTTCGAGAAAGCCAATCCAAAAAGAGTAGGATTTTCTTTCAAAACATTCCATTTACTTAATCATGGTGCAAAGAGAAAATAAAGAACAGTTCACTTCRGTGATTATAGGGCAAAGTCTGCCTACCTAATGAAAGGTAGGTGGGCCATGATTTTGTGAATACAGAMTAAAACCAGGAAAAATAAAAGGCAGGAACTTAAAGTTAAGGATAAAGATTAGTTTTTAAARCATCAATATATGAATTACTTATTTAAATGGAAATGTTAACTAAACTACCTTGTTTAGCTAAACTACTGAATTGCCAGATTCTGTGGTAAGGTCTGGGCATCTGAAGTTAGGATCCTCATGTGGCCCCTTTGCTTTAAGTAGCAACATAAAGTATTTTTATCTAGATAAGATAAGTGGGTATGATTATTCTATTTTGTCTTATGATAAGGAAGAGAAAATACAGTTTCTTGTCTATTTGTCACTCAAGGTATGTCCTCTAATCTTCTCTTCAGGAAAAACCCACGTGTCCTGTATCATTTCTGTATCCTAATCATCACCCATCTGCTTAGCCTAAGTAATGCCAAATTACCCCAAACTCCCTGTAATTATTACTGTTGTATGTTAAAATAGTATTTGTAKATAAGCTTTCACTATAATTATTATTATATATTGTTTCCTAGTTATGTCTRGCATCTTCATTCCTTGTTTGAGGGACAGCAATGTAGATTTCTATGGCAATTTTTGAGAAAAGGCTACAACCAAGGGAGATGTCATTGGTCTTAGTTAAAGARCAATTTGGTATCAGATGGTGCAGCCTCCATTCGTCTGACTCCTACTGGAAGACCTGACCCCAAAAGTCTGTTGATCATTGTCACCAGAAGCCCTTCCCTCTGTTCCAGCCAAATGACCCCCTTAGCCCAGAAATGTATCAGATCCATGAGGCCTCAGAAGTTCTTCCTTTGTCTGCAGGAGTCACCATTTTGTTATGGTCATGGCTGTAYCCCAAGTGATCTCTGAACCCCCTGCACTCACTGAAAATCTTGCCTCTGCCACAGGAGGATGTCAAAGGCCCTCATGCTTACACACAAACCCCCCATGTGCATTTTTGTGTGTTTAAAAAGACACAGGTGAAAGTGTATGAAGTGCATAAATGTGTGTTTATACATAGGTACACTTCTTTATACTATGAAAGTGTTTTATTTATATAGTGTATGTATAAAAATGTTTAGTCAGAGATAATGGAGGAAAGTAGTTAAATGGGATGGGAGTATGTCAGGGGGAGTGAGGGGCCATGAAAAGATCTATGCATTGGGCAAAGTGATTAGGCTGTGAAACTGTACAGGGAGCTGCCACCCGGCCCGAGATCATC